AGCATGAAGAAATGTGAATAGGACAAGACACAAAAAATACGGCCTGAGATAGTCAGAGGTTCAGAAGAGAGGAGCCAGTGTTATTTCACTGCAGAAGCTATTGTAGGACTTTATCTCTGAATGAAATATGGTGTATGAAAGCAAGGTAGAAACACCAGAAAGCTGACTTTCTTAAAATCCATTATCGTAATTCACAAATGTTGTTTTCTTCTGTATTACTGTGTAAGACTATTGATAACAAAATGGATGAATAAATATTTGTGTTGGTGATTTTGAGTCAAACAGAACACCAGAACAAGTACAAGAAATTCAGCACAATATCCAGGGTTCTTTCTAGAGAAGCAAGATACCCAGTCTTTACTTTTTTTGTATACAATTCTATTTTAATTCTAGCTTGAAATGTATCTAAATAGGAATGCATCATTCCTTTGTTTGTAGCTAAATCACATTATTAATATAGAGTCCTTCTTAAGCCAGAGCCATCCCCTCTTTCAGCCTTCTTAGATGAGAGTTGAAACGTCATCAAGAACTTCAAGCAAAGTTGCCAAGTTTACCATTTTGGACCTGGATGACTGAGAAGCTCCACACCCAGAGGAAAATAAAATTAGAAAAGAGATCTGTACCTGTTCATTATTTCACCCTGAACTGTACATGATTAGTTGTGTAGTTGTTTTTACCTGCCACCCTAAATGCAAGCGCTGTTGCAATTCATGCCCTGTCCTCTTGTTACATTGCTATGTATTCTCCTGAGTCCACTCTGTTATAGCTTCCTACCAACCTAGTTTTTACTACAATATACTTTATAAATATAAACTATATATATATGTAAACACACACACATTGTTTTGTTGCTGCTTTTGTGTTGCTCATTTTCTTGTCTAAAGGAGAAAAGGGGAACCATACTAACACTGAGTTGAGTTTAATAAAGTATCTTTTTTATGTCTCAACAATGACTCCTGTGGCTCATTGTCCTGACTCAGCTGTTTCTCTTAGTGAATCATCAGAGAAACATATCAGAAACACATCAGTATAAACTAGAAACTAAAATGAGGCTGAAGTGAGAATCACAATTTTGTCTCCAGAGCTGTAGAAGAGCAACTTTTGAGCAGCTCATCCTGTCTCCATTTCATCTCAGATAGACAAACCAGCAAATGGTACAATAAAAAGACAGCTGTTGTAGATGCAGACCGTCAGGCCCTTGAAGCAGAAAGAGCCGGTCACAAACAAATACAAGAGCGGTGATTTTCTAATCCTCAGCAAAAGAGCAAATAAGTGAATTTTAAACTATTCTTTTAAAACATGGTACTTTAAGATGTGGTTCAAATGTGTATTTGCCCTTTGTATCATGTATATTTTTAAAGCCTGTGTATGTTTTAGTGTATTACCTATGTTTACAAGCAGGTGGAGAAGGTGTGTGTGACAGTTATTTTATTCCTTGAGCTTGAGCCCTGATAGACAAAAGAAAAAACTATCTGTAGTGAACTCGTATTTTCATTTGAGTCTCAGCTCAGGACTCGGGAGAAAGAGCTGAAATCTCAGGGTCCCTCACAAAGTCTTAGCTGAGCAACACTGATATTGTGCAATCTCATTCAGCAGTAAGTCAGTATTGGCCTGACGTAAAGTTATCAGAGTGTTAACTGTGCCGTAGTCGCATTGGTATGCATGTGTGCGCATTCTGGGAAACAGGAAAAAAAAAACCCTTAGGCTTTTCTTAAAAGCCAGACTGTTCTGACCTACTGCATCCAGACTAGACTGTAAAAGATGCTGTCTGTGCACTCGGGGTGATGAAAGGATTTAAGTTGAAAGCTAAAGATCTGTGCATTTGTCTCTTAGAAAAGCTTTCCATGATTTGAATTGGTTTCTTATTCTCTACCTACATCTGAACTTTTGTTATTGTAGAAAATGATGGATTTCTGATTTGTCACTTAGTTTACATTGCATTGTCTTATCTGTGTAGTCCCGGTCAGTGCTTTGAAATAAAA